CAGGCGGAGTTGATCTCTTCCAGTTGCCCTGCGGTGCTCGGTTTCCCTCTAAACACCACCATGCCCCCCGCAAGGCGCAAAGGACCCGCGCCCTAAGCAAAGACCTGAGCGTAGATATATCTATTTATGATTTGTTGTCTTTTTTGCTTCGCTTCCTGGTCCTGCAAAGCCCACGCCTTTCCTGCAAAGGCCACGGCTTTGTCATGGATTCTGCTCTGGTTTCGAAGGCTCCTTTTGTCAACCAACCGCCAGGAGAATGTCAATCATTTCTGGCCTCTGACACTGGAAGAGCGCCCGGTTGTACACCACCAACTTGGTAATGCGCCGTTCGCCCTTCGAAGACGCAGAAAGAAAAAATTAAAGGCATTAAACCTGACTTTATGTGTCCGCAACCGAGGCTTGTCCTGCGGGTGGTGGTTCTCTGCTGTCATCTCTTGCTAGCGTCTTGTCGCTCTCGTTGCTAGCGTCTTTACAGAGACCGTGGAGTGGCTAAGGAAAGTCGCAGTCGAAATCCACGCGGACAGACTCAACCCACGCAATCTTCTCCTGGGCCCTGCCAATACTTGCAGATTCCATTCCCTCGTAATTAGATTGAAGCAAATTGTTGTGGCGGAGCTGTGCCCGCGCAAACGCAAGCGGACATGGAAAATATCTGATGGGGTCCATCAGCAGCCGGCCGTTCTTTCCACCTTGGCACTTTAAACTTCCGCGATTGTCTATCTGTGTGTGGCTGGGAATCAGGATGGCATTGGTATGCTCACCCTTTTGAGAAAACATTGTTTTTGATGCATTTTGGACCCTAAAGTTAAGCTTCCAGCGGCCAAGCTGAGAGCAGCCAAGGAATGAGATGGGTGACTATTTAGCTGCTGTGGACTTGGGCAGCGGCCGAACAGCAAAGCAAGTTTCAGTGGGCTATCACACATGCGTCTTGCTTGACAATGACGTGATCAAGTGTTGGGGAAAGGGTTCTTCTGGCCAGTTGGGCCAAGGCAACGCAGAGGACATCGGTGATAACATGAATGAGATGGGTGACTATTTAGCTGCGGTGGACTTGGGCAGCGGCCGAACAGCAAAGCAAGTGTCAGCGGGCAGTCACCACACATGCGCTTTGCTTGACAATGACATGATCAAGTGTTGGGGATATTGTAATTATGGTCAGCTAGGCCAAGGCAACACAGAGAACATTGGTGATGACATGAATGAGATGGGTGACTATTTAGCTGCGGTGGACTTGGGCAGCGGCCGAACAGCAAAGCAAGTTTCAGCAGGCGGAGACTACACATGCGCCTTGCTTGACAATGACATGATCAAGTGTTGGGGATCTAGTTATGCGGGAAATCTTGGCCAAGGGAACACATGGAGCATCGGTGATAATATGAATGAGATGGGTGACTATTTGGCTGCGGTGGACTTGGGCAGCGGCCGAAGAGGAAAGCAAGTGTCAGCGGGTTTTTTCCACACTTGCGCCTTGCTTGACAATGACATGATCAAGTGTTGGGGATCTGGTCATTATGGCCAACTAGGCCAAGGCAACACAGAGAACATCGGTGATGACACCAATGAGATGGGTGACTATTTAGCTTCGGTGGACTTGGGCAGTGGCCGAACAGCAAAGCACATTTCAGCGGGCACTCACCACACATGCGCTTTGCTTGACAATGACATGATCAAGTGTTGGGGATCTAATTATGCGGGAAATCTGGGCCAAGGCAACACAGAGAACATTGGTGATGAAATATATGAGATGGGTGACCATTTGAGTGAGGTTGATACAGGTTCTATTGCCGCGGTTTTCACAACAAACATCCGGCTTGTTGATGCCACACCAACACAAGGGCGTGTGCAGGTGAAAGTTCAAGACTCCTGGCGCGATGTTTGCGACGACAATTGGAACAACGTGAATGCACAGGTAGTTTGTCGGCAACTTGGCTTCGCAGGTGGACTTGCGAGCTTTCACTGGAATGGAAGTGGCCAATTTGGTATGGATAATGTTGACTGTATCGGTGACGAATTTGATATCGGCCAATGCCCATTCAGAGGATGGGGGGTTCATGATTGTGGATTTTGGGAAGCTGCTGCAGTCGAATGCCATTTGGATGCTTGGACGCGCTTTGCAGATCCCACATTCTCAGCTCGCAGAGGCCATTCCTTAGTTTGGGATGCAGCCAATGCATCGGTGTTAGTCTTTGCTGGCCATGAAGCAGGCTTCTTCCGGTATTACAATGATTTGTGGCGAAGCAATCAACAAGGTATTTGGGAGCAACTCTCAGCGGATGGACCTTCAGCTAGGGGTGGCCATTCAGCAGTATGGGATTTCCGCTCCCGCACCATGTTAATTTTTGGTGGGAGCTATTTCACATCCTATTTTGATGAGTTATGGCTCTTCAGCGTGCACACAAACTCATGGAAGAAATCTGATTCGGCCGCAATGGCCGGAAAACCCCCTGCAAGAGCTTACCATTCGGGAGTATGGGATGCGGACAATCAGGTGATGCTGGTGTTTGCTGGTGAAAACCCTGTGAATCTGGCTGATTTCTGGGAGTATCATTTGCTGTCAAACACATGGAAAGAATTGACACCATCATCTGACAAGCCTTCAGCCCGAAGCAGGCACTCTGCAGTCTGGGCAGATGCTATAAAAGCAATTCTAATTTTCGGAGGTTGGGACTTTACGGCGCTGGACGATCTTTGGCATTATGGCTGGTGGACGAATTCCTGGACGTTGCTGTCTCCTGCAAATCCACCTTCCGGTCGTGCCGGCCATTCGGCCGTTTGGGATCCAACGACTTTGTCTATCTTGACTTTTGGAGGTGTCAAAGTGCTGAATGAGTCACACAACTACACAGCAGAATTGTGGAACTACAGCATCTTGACAAACTCGTGGACTCCTTTGGCTCCTCCTGGACCTTATCCCAGCCCTACTGCTCGAGAGGACCACGTAGCCTGGTGGGACCCAAGCTCACGCTACATGTATCTTCTAGGTGGCTATGATGTATCTTACAAGAAGGACATGTGGCGCTACGTAGGAGTTGAAGCGGAGGAAGTACCTGTCGAGGAATGCTTCTTAGGTCAGGAGTGCAGCCTGCAGTTGGCAAGTCGCAGATTGGAAGCAGGTGACATTCTGACTGTTGTCAACTTTTTCACAGGCTCTTCAGAACCGAGTTTGTTGGGCTTATATCTAAAGACGCTGGATGGATATAACTTTTCCTTTGCTCTGGAGAATTCCACCAGCGAAGACTCAGACCAAAATCGAAGCGACTTGTCTGATCCACTTGTTGTGCAGGTGCAGCCTGGTCTGTACCGGATCCGCTGGTGTCCGAGTCTTGAGGATTGTGAGAGCCATTGGTTCGACGTGGGATTGTTGATCGTGGCCGGTCCCTTTCCAGGGCAATCTTTCATTTGCGACCAGGGGGCTCCTTGTGTCATCTCAGGATTGCAAGGCTCACGACTTTCTAAGACTGACCAGTTGCTTCCAATGAAAGAATGCGGGACATTGTTGCGGACATCACTCTTTCCAGAGCCGCACCCCATCAGCGCTTCCGCTTCCACCCAGTCCGATGATCTCTTGTTTGATTTTGGCCACTTGGAGCTGGATGGCTCGCCAGAAGTGGTGCAACTATGCTGGTGCCCAGAAGAGTCAAGCTGCGGAGAATTGGAGGATTTCCGTGCTCTGGCCATGCTTTTCTATGTGGTTTGCCCGCCAGGACTGTCTTCTCGGGGCGTGTCCGACGCGTATAAGTCGTCAAAGGTCAAGACAAACTGGTCGAGCAAATTGAAAGATACCGTCAAACCAATAGCTGGACAAAGTGGTTCACGAACGTAGTGTCAATTGAAAACCAGGCACAAAGAACACATGCGAGACTCCATTTGGCACATAATATGGAGTTTGTGTCAATTCTGCAACCTGTGTAGTTCGACCTTTGTTTCATTTGTCCTTGGCGCAACCTTGTTCCGCGACCAACTACATCATGTTTGTCTTGGATCTCCTCGCCCTTTGCCGCACATTCAACAATAGACTTGCTTGGTCGCAAAGGTAAACAAAACACCAATCCTTACCTGCTGCTTAGAAACTCTCTGTTATTTTTCTTGCTAAGCACAGGGGAGCGCTTTTTTGGCCTCCCACTTTTGCCCGTTCAGACGTTCCGAGCAAATGCTGCCTCCTTCTGGCCTTGCCGTCCGTGGCCTTGCTCCAGAGGGTTAGCTGTTTGTAATTCGTTTGAGGGTAGGTTTTTCTTCTTTTGTTGTGCAATGTTCATTGCGAAAGGAGACAGGTCCTTTGCAACAGTGTTTTTTCTCTTCTTGTCACGATTCCAGGATGGTATGAGCTGCATGGCATGATCTCCAAATGCCAAAAGTGCCCTCCTGGAAGCTACTGTCCTGGTGGCAAGGCTGCCGATTCTCACCAGTCCATGATCTACGAATGTCCTCAAGGAAGCACCTCGCCTAGTGGGTCAGTCTCAGCAGAAGCCTGTGAATGTCGGCGCGGCCATTTCTTGAATGCGCAGGTCAGCACTTGTTCCATGTGTCCTCCAGGCTACTTCAAGAACCACACTGGACCTGACTTGTGCCAAACATGCCCACCTCAAACTGTTTCCCCAGAGGGTGCCATCGCATTGTATGAGTGTTCTTGCCCATCTGGCAAAATTGACATTGACTTGAGCGAGAACATCACATGTGCCGATCTAACTGTTCTGGAGCAATTTGTCAGCACTGCTGGTTTCCTTTCCCAAACTGAAGTGCTAATGTATTCATTTCACGGTTCGATGTCATCTCCGGAATCTGATTCTCTTGAAGTTGTGCGATTAAATTTGATTGACTACCTGGTTCTGAGTGCGCGGGCATCCCTGCATCTGACTCCAACTGCAGGGCAAATTAGCTACAAAATCATGACGTCAGAAGAAGAGGAGGCAGCCAAGCTTCATGCGAAGATGGATGCAGACGTGTTCTTTGCCTTGGCTTCGGCAAAGGAATCAGAAGTGACCAGCAGAAGCGAGATAGCTATGGAAAGCCTCCGGTGTCCCGATGGATTGGGTTTTGGGATCACTGGCATCATTCGAAGCCAGTCCGACTGCAAGTGCATTCATGGAATGGAGCCGGTACCAGATGAATCAGGTCTTGCCAGTGGTTGCACGAAATGCCCACGGGGCAAGTACAAGTCGACTGTCGACGATGCAGCCTGTTCGTCTTGTGGTGGACTCTCAACTTTACAAGAAGGAGGAATTTCTAGTGCGGCTTGCACTTGTCCAGCTGGATACGTGAACGAGGTGCTGGATGACCCTGCAAACTGCCAACCTTGTGGCCAGGGTTTCTTTTGTCAAGGTGGAACACACAAACAGGCCTGCGGTCAGTCTTTGACCTCGTCTACAGAGACCGCTAACAGCGAATCCGAGTGTATTTGTGCCTCGGGTTTCTTCCGTGTGGAGTCTGTGTGCGAAGCTTGTCCAAAAGGCTCATTCAAAGCAGACATTGGCGATGGGGCCTGTGAACCCTGCCCAGCAGGAAAGTGGAGTAACGAGTCTGCGGCTTCGCATGAAGACGCTTGCATTTCCTGCATGCCGGGCGCTACAACTCGTGAAGAGGGTGCTGACGAGATGAGTTTGTGTGTCAGGCCTGACGGACATCAGCTTGTGCGCTGCATATCGGGGAAGGTTTGCCATGTTGAAATCACTGGTTTCAACCTTCAAGATGGTCATCGGCTTGCTTTGTCGACGTCAAGCTGCGACTCGGGTGGCAAAGCGGCTGTGCCCAATGTGGTTGCTCAAGGAGTCTCAAAGCCTGCAACAAGCAGCGGAAGCATGCATGTTTGGGGTGATGCGGCTGGTGACTTCAGCCCAGAAGGAGGAATTTACAATCTGTGCTGGTGTGCCAACATGCGCGATCTTCAATGCGGAAGTCTGCAGACCGATTTCATTTTGTCTGCAGGAAAACTTGAAGTCATTGGACCTTTACGTAATCACTCCTTGGACTGTGTTCGAGGTCAGACCTGTTTAGGTTTGCGGCCTTTTCAAGGACATCAGCTTTCCATAGAAGATCGAGTGGCGGTTCGCCGTGCATGTGGTGGTTCTGAAGTCCTATCGCTGGCACTTGCAAATCCCAATGGTACTGGCAGCCTTTCGACCTTTGATGGAGAGTTTTACCTTACATTTGGCAATGCTCTGCTGGATGCGGATGAAGCGTACACCATTTGCTGGTGCGGCGGCTCCTGCAATACCGCTTCAGATTTTGCAGTGCCAGCCGGCCACTTGCAAGTGTTAGGACCCTACACAAATCAACGGACGAACTGCTTTCTGGGTCAGCCTTGCCATTTGCAGAACATCAAAGGAGTTGGTTTGATGACTGGTGACCGGATCATGCTCCGCACGGATTGTGAGACAGGTCCTATGCTTCCTGGAAGCCCCGGCAATGGAATTGCCTTTCGCAACGAAGCTTGGCAAAGAAATGGACATGGCACACAGAAGGCTTAACAGCAGTGCAAGCAAAGCAACATATCATTGTCAAACCACAGCTTTATATAAGACATAATGGACGATTACAATGCTTGCTCTTTTTTATCCTGCCACCCAAAGCTGCTTTGCCAGGAGAATGGAGACTTCGATTTTGTGGGTGAAAGCTCCTTGTTGTGGTCGGCAGTGGGTATTTTTTCCATGTGCTTTTGCCGGCCATCTCTGGAAAACTGTACCCATGCTTTGGACTTTCGAGCTTCGCTGGGTCTTTTCACCACAAAGGGTCCATTCTACGTTACAAGAGTGTGCGAACAAGGCCATCCATGCGCTGTACAGCTGGTTGGTATCGGTTTGAATGTGGGTGATCGCTTGGTGTTCCGCAATCATAGTTGCCAAAGCTGGAGCTACCAAGGGGTCGCTTTCCAGGTCTTCATGGAGCTTCCAGAGCCTTTGAGAGTGAAGGACGACGGCAATGGACTTGAAGTTGACCTTGGAACCTTGCCCTTTGGTTCGACACCTGGTCCAGGAGGGTATCGCATTTGCTGGTGCCCTGCCGATCTGTTGTGCACTTCAGCCTCAGATTTTCGAGGTGCAGCTGGAGAACTGCAGATTCATTGCCCACCAGGAGATCATTGAGATCATAGGTTTCTTTTTTAAAATAGTCTTTGGTGTAGTTGAATCCTCTGTTCAGTTTCTTCTCGTTTTTTTGATTCCTTTTGCACTTGTCTTTCAAGGCAGAAAGCAAGGAAAACCGCTCGCCGCTCGCCGGGGTCCTCCGGGGTCGCCGTCGCACGGCAAGCGAACAAGGTGTTGTTTGTGTACCTTTCCTTGTCAATGCCGAAGCAGCAAGAGCTGGCCGGTGAAAAACGGTTGACTCTTAAAACCTTGTACACTTCTTGAAACTCCTGCAGGAACGTACTATGCGGAATCTTCTCAAGTTTGTGCCAAATGCCCAAAGAAGTTCTATTGCAGGGGAGGTGACCCTACTGACGCCAACAAAGTTTCTTGCGCTGCAGAGGAGACCACCTTACATTGGCATGCTGCTTCGAGGGAGGAGTGCGTATGCCTCCCTGGATATGGACTTGTTGATGGCCAATGTGTTGACTGTGCCAAAGGCTTCTACAAGTCTGCAACCGCCAATGAAGAATGCGTCAGATGCCCAGAAAACACAACGACATTCTCTGCAGGAGCATCCTCCAACATGTCATGCGTTCCAGAAACAATGTTGGCGCTTGAAGATGGTGAATCCGAATCGAATGCCTCAAATTCCCACACATGTGAAGTGCCTGTCCTGACGTTCAGCCTTTCTATCACAGCCACCGGCAACGCCTCAGACGCAATCAGCGACAATGTGGCATCCGCATTGCGCACCATGTGGGGCACTCGTGCAATCACAGAAGTGGACCTTTTGTACGATAGCAACAATTCATCCAGGCGCATGTCAACCATGAGGACTTTGGTGGTCACACTCAAATACTTGACTATGGAGGAGGCAGAGACATTTGCTGAAGAAGTAGATCTCAGTATTGCCTCAGATGCTGTGTTGGATACCTTGCGTCAAGACGAAGTACTAGGCATAATAGATGTGCAGCCCTCCAATGTCTCAGTGTCCCTCCTACCTTTGATATGCCGGGCAAACGCCCTGGTACCACCAGGTGTGACTATTCGAAATGTCGAAGAGTGTCTTTGCACAAGCGGCTATGAGTACCTTGAAGAGAGCAAAGGCTGCAGTCCTTGTGGGATTGGAGAGTACAAGAGTACGCTCGCCAACGATAAATGCCAGTCATGTCCCATTAGAAAATCCACTTTGAAAGTCGGAGGTGCTTCAATCCAAGATTGCATATGCCAAATTGGCACTTTTGATGCGGAAGGAGTTTGTTCCGATTGCACACCCGGCTTGTACTGCCCAGGAAACGGGGAGCCTTTGAAGTGTCCGCAGCACTCTCAGACCTTGGTGGCCTCTGCCAGATCGATTGATGACTGCTTATGTGTGGTCGGCCATTACTCGAGTGGCAGCTGTGAGCCATGTGTCCCTGGAAGGTATAAGAGCAACATCGGCAATGAGACTTGTTCCCAAACATGCCCATCAAATGCCGATAGTTATCCTGGTGCCACCTCCTTGGAAGACTGTTTTTGCGTGAAGAACTACCACGCAATACTTTCCTCGAACGGTCGATTGGAACGCTGTGCCAGCTGCTTGCCCTATGTGGGCCTGTATTGCCCCGGTGGCTTTGAACCAAATTCCACTGAGCATGTGCAGCCTCGAGCTGCTGCAGGCTTCTACCAGACAGGAAGCACTTTCGCTACCAAGTGTCGAGTCGTGCTAGCTGATGGATCCAGCGCCTGTCTCGGAGACAACCAATGTGCAGAAGGAACTACCGGAATGCTTTGTGGCGAATGCCCGGCTGGCTGGGCCAAGTTTGAAGACGTCAGTCCATGTGAGGAGTGTTTGGCTGGGGCTGGAACAGGTCAATTTAGCACGGCCATCGTGTTTGAGATCACCAAGATAGCGGCCTTGAATTTTGTTTTAGCAGCTTTGGCTGCGTCTGACGCAGCCAATGCGAACCTGCCACTTCACACTTACATGATCCGAATCCTAACACAATGGTTCACAGCTTGTGCCCTGATCACTCATTTCAATTTGGAACTGTTGGAGACGCCTTTTGCGCAAGCATCCGTTTCATCAGATTCCTGTGATGAAGAGCAGTTGGTGCAATATGGGAGTTCAAGCCAAGCGGTTGCACCAAAAAGCACAAGAACGAGTGACGTCAATGAAGCGCTTGAAAGCTTGAGGCTCCCATGGCCGGTGGAAGTGAGCCATGCCATCGCTGTGTTCTTCGCTATCTCAAATGTGGTGCCGAAGTTTACATCTGTGAAGTTTTCAGCTCAATGTCGAGCCTTCGAATTGTTTCCAGAACGTCCCGGGGCACAACGACTTGCACCTGCACTGTATTTCATCTCTTTACCTCTGCTCACCTCGTTAGCAACATTTTCGGTTTGTGCTGTGGTTGTGCATTTCGTGGTTCCAGTTGCAAGGCGATTTGGAGTGCATTTCAACAAGGAAGCCAAGAAGAAACAGAAGAAGAGAAAGCGGATTCAAGCCCTGTTTCATGATTCTTGGACGCGTGACTTGAAGTTATCAGATGTACCGCTTGACCTGCCGAAATTCCGTGGTTTGGACTCCTTCGCTTCAATTGTTGACACGCACCAGAGATTTGCCAAAGAGATTTGTCGGATGAAAAGTGCCAAAGACCCTCAGCTTGAGGCTGTTCTTGCAGAAGAGGGTCTAGATCTAGAAACGTTCAACTCTCCATCAACGGACTTCTTATTTGCAGAATTCTCCGAAGAAGACTTGAAGAAGGTCTCTTGCCTGCAAAGAAGACTCCAGCACGACCGAGCACGGACGAACACCGCGAGTCCCTTTCAGTCTGAGTCGTCAGCGTCGAACCGCAGCTCTCGTCGTTCGGTCGCTGAGGTGATCACGGAAGCTCTCGTTCCACCGACACTCATCGGTGCTTTAGTTCATCGTGCCGAGCTTTGGGATCGAGGCGGTATGTTTTCTTCTTTGAAACATGTTGGTGTCATACATGTCAGACATGTTGAACTGTAGAAGGATGCATGTCAGGTCCCTGAATCGGGGCCTCAAGATACGCTTGTGTGCTTTAAACAGCTTGTTTTCGCAACAGAAAGGGGGATTTGGGAGACACGCATATTGCTGATAGCATCATGTGAGGCGCTGAGGAAAGGCCTGCAAAGCAATCTGGCGATGCTAGTGCTATATCGGTAGCTATTGAAGCCGAACAGCCAAAGGATGACTTGCGCACCACCGGTGCTCTACCTGACACTGCCCGTGACGTGAACGTGACCGGCGCTACTCCACCGAGCCAAGCGAACGTCTGGACGGTCGATCGTTTGGACTTTGGCCTCTTCACTCCGAAGCCAGGTCTTAAGACACTGTTGATTCAGAGTGTGCCGGTCGTTTGGCCGACTTTGATTGCCATTTGGCCCCAACTTCTTTCACAGTTTCTGTCGTTGGTGTGGTGCACGCCTATCAGGGAGGATGCTTGCGTGCGGCCACGACTGGTGCCAAGTCCAAGTGTTGTTTGTTTCAGCGAAGATCACTGGCCTCTGTTTATCATCTCAATCGTTGGATTGAGTGTTTGGTGTCTGGGCATCCCATGTTGGTTGTTTGTGCTGATCTACCGCTTGGGGAAAACGCGGCAAGAGCTCGAAAGTGGGCGAAAGTATGGGCTCTTTATTCGCGGTTTGGAACCATCGATGTGGTGGTGGGATCTTCTGATCAAACGTGCAGACATTGCTCTCATGATGCTGATAGCCTACACTTCATTGGTGGAAGATCAAACAGCCAAGCTGTTTGTATTCGCTTTCATATCAGGCATACTGCTTTGCCTTACAACTTGGTTCAAGCCCTACTCCAAGAACCAAGCAGAGATCTTGGACATACTGGAGACCAGTTTGCTTACTACACGTTTCGTGCTCTACTTCGTTGTGGCCATGTTATTGATAATTTTCCCGTCTGCAACTACAACCAGGATGTGTGCTCTTTTTGTTTTGGTAATGCTGATTTCAGTCTGCGCCTTTGCTTTTCTACATATCTTTGCACAAGCTCTTCGCCGGGAACAGAAACAAAGCCTGACGAACGAGGAGAGCGATGAGGAGGAAGAAGATGCAGAGGAGAATTCATTCATTTCCATCTTTTCTCACACATCAAAGATATATTTGTTAAACATCTTTCAAAGTTCTTTGTGGGTTTAAGCTTGTGAACAGATTCTGGGAAGACCCACGCTTGCGCCGCTTGCGGCCACCGTCAAACAAGATTCAACGCTCCGATCATACGAAAGAACGCTCACGGTAGAGAACCTCCGCAGTCAAAGCATACACCTTTACCCTGTGTATTTTAGGTACAGGTGTCCCGGGAGCCATCTATAGAACCTTACACGCCATGCACTCTCAAAATCAGTCGTTGGGGCAACTTCTCTGCGCACAGATCTGTAGCTGCACTGTAGACCTGCGGGAGTTGGTGTAGAGGGATTTCATTCTGGCTACAGCCGTGACCGGTACAAGGTCAGCTCATGTTTGATTTGGCTTGATATTGAATGATCTGTTGCCAGCGCATCGAGGCATGCGTCTTGATGTCGAGTCATTCACTCGAAGACCGTTGCGTCGTTGGACATCTGGGTCCAGCACTGCCAGGAACGCAGGTCCTGGGCGTGAATGCGCGAGAATCAACATTTACTTGGTAGGACCAACCCAGTCCCTTGTACTTTTGGGAGGCAAGTTGAATGTGGTTATACAATTATACACGAATTTGAGCTGTAGTAGTGTTTAGAATGCATTCTCAAAGTAAGTGTAGGCAGAGCTGAGCTCATAGAAACTACTGAGCCTTAGAAGAGCTGTATGAGACATTCCTTTGGTATGGCTTGTGGCCTCCAGTGCCACTGAATTCAAAAATCCAAGGCTGTGAGACAAATCTGGTTAGGAAGACATCATTAGGGCTTTGCCCGAAAAGCCGTGTCCCGATTGATATGTCGACATTGAGCGGCGGCTGACTCATACGTCTTCAGCATGTGAAGAGGCACATAAGACTCCTCAGCCGTGCTTTGT